ATGGAGAGAATGAGCTTCCCACCTCCTCATCCCACGGTGGGTCTTTTTTCTCTCTCTTTACCTTGGCCTGAGTGCCAAGAAATCATCCTCAAACTATAACATGCTCAAACTGCTACTAGCTTGGGTTTGGGCAGCACCCCAGTGGCATAATGGCAATGCAAGGTCAGCGGTTCAAAACCACCTGTGGCTCCGCAGGCAGAAGACAGGCTCTCTACTCCTGTGAACAGTGATTGTCTGGGAACCTCACAGGGGCAGTTCTGCCCTGTCCTGCAGGGTCGCTGTGAGTTGGCATCAACTCGATGGCAGGGAGTTGAGTTTGGGGGGCTTATGCCTTTTTCTCGGGGAAATGGGCAGCAGGTGGTGGGCTCTGTGAGTGACTTGCAGGGAGGCGCGAGCCTCAGGAGGGCCACTCACCGCGGCCGTGGCGGGGGTGTGCAGGTGGATGATGCACCGGATGTCGGGCCGGGCTGCGTAGATGGCCGAGTGCAGGCAGAAGCCTGTGGTGTCCACCGGGAAGCAGCTGCTGCCCTTCTCCACCACCTCACCCAGGATGTTGACCTTCATCTGCACAGGGGAAGAGGGAGACAGACAGGTGTCCACAAGCTGGCAGGCTCCACACCCCCCCCTTTAAGGTGGGTCTGGTGCCCCTTCTACCTACCTACGACGCCCCTGGTGTTGGGAAGAAATACAGGGTCCCGGGTTACATGCTGGGCTGTGATCCTCATGTCGGCAGTTCAAAACCCCCAGCAGCTCTGCCGGGGAAGGCCTGGGATTTCTACTCCTGAGAACCATTACAGTCTCCACCCGCCCACAGGGGGTCGCTATGGAGTCAGCATGGGCTCAATGGCAGTGAGTGGGATTTGGTTTTGTTGTTTGGCCCTCAGTGCGCTCAATCTAATGGGGAAAAACAAACCCATAGATAAGCAGCGTGTGGTTAGCTATTCAGCATGGAAAGGCTAGAGAAGAGTTTCTCGGACGATGCTGTGCACAACCAGCACCTGCAGGTCTCTTTAAAATGCAGGTGCTGGCTCAGTAGTCGGCGGTGTGGGGGCTGGGAGTCCATGCTCATAGCGAGCTCCCACCTGGTACTCTGGTACCTGTGCTGTTGGTCTCCCAAAGGCTGAGCCTTTGAAAAGATATACATTTGTTTCCTTGACCATCCGCCACACATGAAAGTCTCATGAACACCCAATTCACCAGTTGCCCAAAAAGGAGGTCTTCAAGGACAGGCAGGAAGGAGTTGCTAGTTTGACCGTCTGCTTTGCTTTCCAAGGAGTTAAGGGTACTGTGATTGTAGGCTGTGCCCTCCTGTGTGTGCATGGACAACCACGTGTGCGTGTGTGGGCAACCATGTGAGCGTGCGTGGCTGCCTGTGGGGTCAAGAGTTGGGGGAAGACAGCCGTGCTGAGGGCGGTCAGCGGGAGGGCTGGCCTGGCGCCCACAGCTGACCCAGGCTGTTCTCTCCTTCCACGAGTGACTTCACAGAACACTGTCAGCAGGAAAGGTCACTTTGTGGCTGTGAAACAGCAAGATACCAGACCTCCGCTTAGTCAAGCCTAAGCCTAGGCCAACACAAGAGCCCCGAGCAATCCAACAACGGCTTGTATTCCCTTTGCTGGCTAGCCTGGGCCTCGCTCCACTGCGCTCCCCCCCACAGCCAGAGAAAAATGATTCACATGCCCAAGGAGAGAACCATCCCTGCATCCTGACAGGGGCAAGCCCCCTTCTTAGAAACCTCCATGACTTCCCTAACACAGACACAAGCCCCAACATAGGCCCCTCGCTGCACTGTCTTCCCGATCCAGTTCCCCAGGGTGAGCTCTCCCGCCAGCTGGGCAATCACCCTCCCTCCCTGACTGATTGCAGGCATCCCAGGCACTGACCAGCTACACCACAGTTCCTAAAAACCACCCAGTGCTGGTCCTTGGTTTCAGGTGCTAGGGGCCTGAAAGTAGCACAGGAACCCGTCCCACCATTTGCTGTCCCCACGCCCCTGTTGGGGAGCTTGCTCAGACAGTCCAGATGGGAGGCAAAAAAGAGGGAGGGGGCGGGTAAGGACACACAGCAGAACACCATTTGCTTAAACAGAAGCATTAAGACGTCAATAAAGCCTCTTCCACAAAATCTCAACGTCAGTGACCTTCGCAGCATGAACATGACCTCAGAGTTGCCTGACCCCTGGAAGCTGCAGCAGCCCACTCAGCTTAGGCACGTCACACCCTGGGGGTCCAGCGCTGACCCCTCCTCAAAGGTGGCCTGCTCTAAGTTTCCTCCCTGGGGTGGTCTCTTCTGCCTTCCTGGTGCGCTCCTTCAATGCCTAGCCTGTCCTCCCTCAAGAATCTTGGCAGCCTCACGGGACAGCTAGTCTCCATACAATGACTTTGCACAAGTAACAAGAGACACTCGCTCTTGTGGGCACAGTCTGTGGGCACCGCTGAGGTCCACATTGTCAGAAAGCAGCTCAGTGCCAGACATACTGCTTAGTGAGTGGAGTATAAGCCACTCTCTGGCCTCTCCTCTTCCCCACCATTGCCAGACTCCCTGGTGCAGCGCAAGAGCTGCACCTCCAGCCACACACAGCAGCGCTGAGTCCACTTAGGCTTCCTGGGCCTCCCAGGCCAGGACGCCCCAGCCTGTGCCTCGAGGCCAGACCTCTGACGCTATGGTGTCCAAATGCAATGGACTTCGCCTCTTCGAAGTTCCACAAGCTCCTCAGACTCAACTCCATGCCCCGACTCCACAGACCACTGGGTCCTTGCAAAGGCTTGTCTGGCCCTGCCTCTGCTCCTGCAGTGGAGACAGTCCTGTAGGACCCAGATCTCCTCCCTGGCTCACTGGGAAAGCTCCCAGCCAGTGGACCTGCCATCAGCTTGCTGCCACACAGCTGTCAAGGGTGCTACTGGTAGTGAAACCTGTATCTCATTGCTGAATGGACGTTAGTGGCTCTGCATGTCCAATGGAATAGAGCCACATGTCCTGCCAAGGCATTCCGTGTGCTTTGCCTTCAGGCCCGTGTCCCCTTCCAGCCACCCACTGGGAGCTTGGATACCTGAGCCCAACTCAGCCACGTGCCTGTCCTCCCCAAAGCACAGAGCTCTCACAAGCTATACGCCTGCTAAAACCTCACCCCACCCCCAGACCACCCCCTGCCCTCCTGGTCTAAGTCTGCTGACTCTTGACGGCTCCTGAGACTACACTCCGGCACCAGGGTTCACACGAGAAGCCCCTTCCTTCACCCCTCCACCCACATCAGCACACTGGTAGGGCAGGGGGCCCTTCCCTAAGCCCCGAGCCTCCTTTGTCTCTATCCAAGCTCTCTTCATACTGAGATTTAGTCACTGACTGCCTTACCTGTCTCCCTGAACCCTAGAACTAGGGACTCCTAGAGGACAGAGCCCCTGTCGTACTGGTCTCTGTGGCCAGGACCTATGTGATTGGCCATGCGCTCTCAAGCACCAGCATGCTTTCCTGTCTGGAGGCCTGGGAAGTCCCTGAGGTCCCGCCCCGCGCCACACAGCAGCCTGAGTCTCCACGTGAGCTCACCTCAAGCCTGCAGAGCCAACACGAGTTCCTCCTCCCGCAGGCGCAGACCTGCCAACCACAGCTCACCTGTCTAGGAAAGGTGGGCTGCTTCCTTCCTCCCACCTACCATCTTTCCTGATCTAAGCCAGTTTCCTCAATCTGTGTTCCACACCTAAGAGGGTCAGGAGAGCAGACAGGGATCCGGAAGCTACCTGTAACGACCCCCAACTGGACAAGTCAGACATTGCTTTGAGACAAAACACCGTCTCTAGGACAAAGACATTCTTCCGTCAACAAGGCCCTCACAGCTTCTGCAGTCCAATCCCAGGCTTTGCCACCTGGCCCATAAACCTGCACTGGTCATCTCAGCTGGCCCTCACCAGTCTCACCTGCTGCCTGCACTCACACCTGGCCTCCTGGCTGAGTGGCACACTGGGCACTTGGTTTGTTCTGAAAGTCACGTGTCTTCTCTGTCCTATCAAATTCGTGCTCTGTGAGGGGGAAGGCAGCCTTGGCTAATGGGGAGAGGGTCGGTCACTGTAGGGGAGATGTCACCTTAGCAAGCAGTGGGCTGAGAGGCCCTGGGTTCTACTCACCAGACTGGATGCTGTCACTTCACTGCAGGAAACTCCCTTTGGGCTGATGAGGAAATGGTCCTGCTCCTTGCTGACCCGCAACTGGAGGAAAGGCACGGGTTCTCAGGGGCCATGGAGGGGAGGTGTCCAGGTCCAAGGACACCGCTCCCTGAATCAATTGTGCCTTCCTCCAGAGAACCCTTCTCCCCCAGCCCGTGGAACCCATCTGTGTGTGGAGCCGGGGACATGGAGCTACGAGAGGAGCCTAAAAACGGTCATGGGGAGCCCGGGAAAGGCACCACTGGACAGCGCTTTCTCGGTTAAGTGGCTGCAGCAGTTGGAAACCCTGGAAGGGCTTCGTGCATCCCAGCCAATGGCCATCAGCAGTGTCCCGGCCATGCCAAGGGTGCGGAGTCCCCCGTGGGCCGCCCCTCACCGTGACGTAGGTGTCGCTCAGCTGGGCCCAGCCATAGATGTCCAGGAGTCTGTAGACGCTGCTGATCTTGCACCGCATGAGCCGCTCACCCTTGGCCAGGTTCAGGGAGTCTGCTGTGTGGAGGTCGTTGATGGGTGTCATCATGGAGAAGTCTGCAGGGACAGTCCAGCACTCAGGGATAGGGGCTCCCAACTGCCCTCCCTGTCCTTGCCCAAGTCCTCTCCAAATCCTCACTGGCACTACAACTACACAGAGACGTGTCTAAGCAAGGAAGTCAAGGTTCTTTGGTTCTCAGGACAGAGCCCTTATATAAGGAGGAGGGAAAAAACGCAGAATGAGTATTTATGTCCAATAAAGTCCTCTGCTTATTAGGGTAATGATGGCATTGCTTTGGGTCATGTGGTAGTTACATAATCTTCTGTCAACTTGAGAAGGGGTAGAGTCTGGCCTGTCAATCAGGTCATAGCTCGATGATCTCATTTGGAGGCACCACGGATATAAACAGCTGACTATGGGGCCAGATACACACACCCTCTCTCTGCTTCGTCTTCCTCAGCAGTTCTCAACCTGGGGGTCGCAACCCCTTTGGGGGTCGAATGACCCCTTCACAGGAGTCGCCTAAGACCATATTTCTGATAATCTTAGGTACTGAGACACCGCTCCTCTATCTGTCTCCAGGTGGGTCCACCCACATGCAGGCACGCCCACATACAGGGTCACCACAACATGAGGAACTGTATTAAAGGGTCACGGCCTTAGGAAGTTGAGAACCATTGGTTTTCCTGCCGACAAGACACATGGAGCTGGACTAGAGCCCTGGAACTAGAGGAGCCATGTGGAGGCCCACACCAGTGCTGAGATGCTTCCACCGCCACTGGATCCACAAAACTTTCCACCCACTGGCCTGTGATCTTCCTGCATTCGGCATTATTGCATGGCTGCGTGAGTCTGAAGAGGAATTTATAGACTGGTATAGAACATAAGGGCTAATATCGGACTTATGAACTTAACCTGGACTGGGCTGGGATGTTTTCTCAATATTCAATTGCTCTTGAATATGAATCTCTTTCTTATACACATGAGTGTGTCTATGGATTTGTTTCTCTAGTCTACCCAGACTGACACAGGTCAATTTAAGGCCACACAATGAAGGGTGTTCAGACTTCTAAGCTTGCCACAAACTCTACAAGTGGAAACTGAATAAAAAGTCATAGTACGTTTCAGAGTCCAAGAACAGGTATATTTCATCAGTGAGTGTTAATGAAGACATTACTACTCATTGGACCCGCTGTGATCATATCATTTTAACTGGATCGTGTAAAATCATAGCTTTCCCCTTGATTTAGAAACAGGGCTAATCGCCAGGTCAGCCAGCAAGTAAATCATCGTTTTTTCTGATGTCACATCTCCCAGAAGTCAGTGTGTCGGGTTGGCTGAAATGCCTGAGGCCTGGGATAAGGCGTGTCTGCTTCCCTGCTAGGGAGGTTTTGGTGGTGTGGATGGAATGGGGAATGGGCCTGGGGGAGGTAGGGGCTTGACAGTCTTGTCTTTAGGACACCCAGAAGTCCAGGAGCTATGTCCACTCGGTTCCATTACCCATGATGCCCCTCCCTGCTCACCTTAGGAAGGCAGAACCTGGGATGCAAGCCTCGGCATTCTGAGCACTAAGTGTCAAGGGACCAGTAAAAGAATCAATCAGAAAGGATTCCAGTTTAAAAGGATGTCTGGCCAGGAGCTTCCTGAGGCTGCCGTTCCCAGCTTCCCACTGAAAACTTTAATGGGATTAAAATGCTCTTCAGAAGCTTTCACCATCCCAAGAAACCTCACTGCTCCACCACGTGATGCACGTCCGTATCAGGCTTGTCATTAGCCAAAAGGATGAGCAAACGTGCATTCGATGGGTGCAAGCAGAACAGGTCTCGAAGGATGCCACATCAGGGCCTGTGCAGACTGCTGTGGTGCACGCACCCCAGGGCATGTTGACAAGGACCTCAGTGAACCAAGGCCCAGCGAGACCAGCGAGAAGCCTGACATGAAATGCCAATAGGTAAAATTCACCAAGCTCGTCTGTGAAAAGCTTAAACTAACGCTGGAAACAGCACAAAACAAAACCCAGTGACTGACAAAGAAGTACCCCTCAGGCTTGAACTCACGGCACTTGTTACCTCCTCTCTCCACAGCCCCTGATTCAGAAATCCTGGGTCTCTACTGATTAGATAACATTTGTCCAGTTGCAGAAAACGAAAAAGACCAAAATGAACTAAAGAAAAATTATGAATTAATAAAGATGAAGGTGAAAAAAAATGAGCTAGGAAACAGAAATCTTTGTAGAGCCAATCATCGAATCTAAGAATTGGCATATGTGAGAAATTCTGTGGACACACATCTAGAACAGCCAACAGAGAACAGATAGAAATATACAATATCCAGAGTGCTGAGATGACATTGCAGCGTCCACAGCAGAAACTCTAAATGGTACAAGTATTTTAAATGGCTTTAATCAATTTTCAAAAATTTCCATGAAACTGATTATTTTGTAGAAAATGCATGATCAGAATTTACTCAGGAAGTAACAAAATGAATCAAAATTCTGGCTGGAGTTAGAGGGGAAAAAATCCCCCCAAACTGCCTATAAAAATGTCCTAGACCTAATTTAAAAAAAACAACAACAAAAACACCCACTGTCATCAAACTGATTCCAACTCACAGCAACCTTATAGAGAGTTTCGGAGGCTGTCAATCTTTACAGGAGCAAGCACACTTCTCTTTGTAACTCAGATTTGGCGGGGTGGCTGGTGGGTTCAAACTTCCAACCTTTCAGTTGGCAGCACAGCACCTACCAAACAGCGCCACTGAGGCTCCTGGCTTCATTCATAGACAATATATCTTGAAGAATCAGATATTTCCTACCCCATTTCAACACCATCAGGGCAGAGCAAAGGGTGAGGCCACCCTGAATCACAGGATGAAATCAGAGCCCTCATACCACTGCTGCACAAAGAGGGTCAGAAAACGAACCGCCGACCAATCTCCTACGTAAACATGATGCAGAACTCTATCGTCAATGCCTAACAGATCAAACCTGGAAAGGGATTGTTTTTTAAAGACTGCAGTGAGGCCAGGAATGATTTATTTACTTCAGGGATGAGAAAAAATCCAATATTCAGAAATCTATTAACGTAGTTCAATCCATCAGGCTCAGGGGAATAAAGACAAATAATGCCTTAGATGTATTTTGTGAAATTCACCATCCTTTTCTGAAAAGAACCTATGGTAAACTCGACTAAAAAGCCATGTCCCTGACATAATGAAGAACAATGGTCTCAAAACGCAAATGACAAAAAAGCATCCCCAAGAAAGACAGAAGCAAGACAAGGATGATTACTCTCTAATCTATTATTAAACACTAGTCTGTGTGTTCTGATAGCTGCAAAGAGGACACTGGGAAAATAAGCCAAAGGGTAAATGTTGGAACACAGAAGGCAAAATTATCATTACTTACAGAGTATGTGATTCTCTACACACAAAACCCAAAGAATTAAATGAGATGATATTAGAAGTTAAAGAAGAGCTCAACAAAGGCATAGCTTAACTCTATCCATATACATTATTTTCCCTAAATGCCAGCTATAACTAAAAAGAAAATAACCAAAAGAGGATTCATTTAAAATAATAAAGTTACATGAACTATATAAGAGAAACATACTAAGAAATCAGTGTGAACCAAGAGATTAGACTTTAAAGACTACGAGGAGGCAAGGGATGGGGGCAGGAACAGGGAGAGGAATAAAATGGGAAATTCCGGAGGGAGGGAGGAAGAATGGGGCGGGACTGGGGGGAGAAACAGAACCACCTTTATGGGGAGTGGTTAACAAGATATTATTACTGATTTCATGTGCTGAGGTGGGCTGTGTAACTATATAGCATATGAGTCTTTAAATGAAAAACAAAACCAAAAACAAAAAACTACAGTGAAGAGAGTCCCATGAGAGAGAGGGAGAGAAAGTAAAACTGAAATGGGCTTGGAGTCTTTAATAACAAACAAACTGGCTGCCGGCGAGTTGTTGCCAACTCATAGCAACTTCTGAGTTCACTTGAAACACATGAAAAAAAAAGGAGTGTGAATACTATAAAGATAATAATTAAACTTTTCCCGTGGGCATTAAAGACTACGTAACTAAATGAAAGACACCCTTTTTAATGAAAAGATCTGAAATTCACTCCTGCAGATAGTCTGGGACACTCTGCTAGGGTGGCGAAGTGAAGTTGCTTGGTAGGGCTCTTCCATCCACAGATTTAGTAAACAGCATGCAGATCAAGTGCAGAGGGCTCTACCTCGGGAGCTGGTCAGTTTTGTCATCTCTCTGGGCATGAGAGAGCCATCTCAGAAGCACAACTGGAGAGGCCCTTGACCATCATGACAGCGGAGCCACGAGCAGAGCACGTACGAGATCCTTGTCTAAAGAGGCTCAGAGACCACGGCACCAGGGCCACGAGCAGCAGTGCAGAGGGCAACACCATGACCAGGAGGCTACGTGGTCTCAGAGACGCAGGCTTTCTGGCCCATGGAACAAGGGAGAGGCCAAAGGACCACGTGGCTGGGAGGCTAAGGACCAGCCCCTCTCTCATGTCTCTAAGAGACAGGCCTGCTGGCTGAGAAGAGACACTGCTAGGGACCAAAGGGCTGTTTCCTCCCTGTTATCTGATCCTTACAGTTTAGTGATTTTCCTTCCCTTTTCTCCATGGTTCCCCTAATTTTCTACCATAACCTGATATCAATCTGATATTTTCTATATCTTACATGTTTTATGTCTACGTCTTTTTATAATCTGATATTTTTTCAAAGTATGTGGGGAGAGCTTCCTAGTCTAGGAAGATGGGGTCATGCATAGTAACCCTGGCTCCCTCACTGTCCAGTGGGGCATGGAAACCAGCTGTGAGGGTCTTCTGTCATGCCAAAACATCAGCCCCAGGGAAGGGGGGAGAGCAGCCTGGGGCAGGCTGGATGCCACCAGGACATGAGGGTTGGCCTCGGTTCTTTCCCCAGAGCTAGAATAACAAGTGACGGGGTCCTCACCCTCATCCCCTGGGCCTTCAAGCAGGGAGTAGGGACAGAGACCTCGACTTGCAAACCTACTCCTTGGTCTACTTATTGGGTTCAAATTCAGGCTGCCCCCACCCTCCCAGAGCCACGGAACTAGAAGCTGGTTCTCCCTTAAGTCACCTGCCCCTCCCATTCCTGACATCAGGGATAAGCCTCCCGTGGGTCTTTAATTTGCAGCAGCAGTAGAGGCAGATACCTCTCTGACTGGTGCTGGGTTCCCCAAGGCCTGCTAATGCAACTGCACCGCTCTGTAGCCTGGCAACCAGGCAGCTCTGACAGCTCCTTCCTCTCCACCCCACCCGGCCCTCCACCTCTGCTCCTGGCAGCTCCCCAGCCGCCCACGTACTCATGGAAGATGTTGGGAAGACTGCATGGGAGGTGCTGGCCATGAAGTCCGCGATCTGCCGCAGGGCCCAGATGTTGGAAGAGTTGTTCCCCTTCTTCATCTGCTCCTGGATGAGGCCTTCCAGCTCCTCCCTGAAAGACTGAAAGCAGCGCCCCGAGGGCTGGTCCCACCACAGCCTCTCTGGGGCGCCCACAGGGTCTTCCAAGTGCCATGTCTCCTGGGACACTGGCCAAGTGCACTGGGACCTCCCCAAACAAGGAGATGCTGAGAATGGGTCGTGTGTCCCCATGACCTGGGGACAGTAGCCCCGACCCCAAGGACCCTCACACCAGAAGTGGCAGGCCTTCACTTCAGAAACAAAGAGACCGTTTAAAAGCAGAACTAACAGTATTAAAAAACATGTCTCCTTCCCTCTACGTTAGCCATGTCTGTGGCACTGGCTGGTAAGTGTTGGGTTGCTTAACCACAAGGCTAGAAGTTCAAACCCACCAGCTGCTCCTCAGGAGACCTCGAAAGCTACCTGCTTCAGGAAAGACTTACAGCCTCAGAAACCCTGTACCTGGTCCTGGAATTGACCTGATGGGTTTGGCTTTGGGGGATGGCTCCTCTGGGCCCTGGTCCCCTCATTTGTTTAACAAAAGGGCAGGAGTTGATCACGCCACAAATAAGGAGCCCTGGTGGCACAGCGGTGAAGCACTCAGCTGCCCACCCAAAGGCTGGTGGTTTGAACCTGTCAGTTGCTCTGCAGCAGAGTGAAGATCACAGTCTTGGAAACCCACAGGGGAGGTTCTCTCTGACCCACAGGGTCGCCACGAGTCAGAGGCTACTGAACATAAGCAGTGGACGTGTGTGTGTGTGTGTGTGTGTGTGTGTGTGTGTGTGTGTGTGTCTTCGGGGCCACAAATCATGCACTGCTGTCTACCAGGTGGCATTGGGACACCAAAACCAAGCCAAACTCACTGCCATGGGCGCTGATTCAGTAAGACTGAGCAGCACTGTAAATCTTTAGGGGAACTGAGCCTCCTCTTTCTCCCATGGAGTTGCTGGCAAAGTTCACTGCACCACAGAGAGCTTTCTAAGTGTTGGTGACCCTATGAAAGGATGGGGAGAAGCAGGCCTCCTCCCAACCCCATCTCCTGCCTGACTGTGAAATCTACTCCATCCAGGCCTCAGAAATGGGCTGGGGGTGACTCTGTCACTTCTCCCACACCTGCCATCCCTCCTGTTGCACTCTGGGAGTTTGCCAGGACTCTTCACCTCACAAACCTGAGGAGCAGTTCCACTCTGCACACCTGGGGTCATCGGGAGGGGGTTCAACCCCATGGCAACTAACAACAACAACCTATTCCTTCAGGGTCATGAGTGCAAGGTCACCCCAAACTCCAGACCCACCCACCTCAAGGTTCCTTACTTGAGAATTGGGCATTCACTGTGTGGTCTAAGTCGGGGTCCCTATCGCATGCTCTGCCTCTTGATAACCTAATACCAGCCAAGCCAGAGATAGATGCCCCCCCCCACCTGATTCCACCCAGCAGGCACCTGTGTATGCAGTCTCACCTGGGGTTTCCCACCTAGAGGGCCACGCACTGTTTCCTGAGGATCCCACTTCCCTCCACAGAACCCCCAATCTTCCTCTTCTCAGGAAGCCTTATTTCCACACACCGTGCTACTTGGTGGTCTGTTAGACCCACACTGAGCCATGTTCTAGGATGAGCTCTGGACCCACACCAAACCAAAGCCCAAACTCGCTGCCATCCAGTCGATGCCAACTCCTAGCAACCCCAGAGGGCAGGCTAGCGCTGCCCCTGTGGGTTGCCGAGACTGTCACTCTCTACGGGAGAAGAAAGCCTGGTCTTTCTACAGAGGAGCAGCTGTGGGTTTCAAAGAGCTGACCTTGAGGTTAGCAGCCCAACACGTGACCACTATGCCACCAGGGTTCCTTGTACCCATGACAGGGGCTATTGATTTACTGTATGTCCAGAGGGGCAGAGGAGGATCCCGGCCCCTGTGCCCTGCTGAGTCCTCCACTCTCCCGATCTCCTGGGGCTTCCGGGCCCTCTCCACCCTTATGTGTCCCAGCAGAGAAGTCCCACTTTATGGGGTCTAGTAAAGGGAGTCCCGAGCCTTACACTCGCAGGGGGCGGCCAGACTCTGGACACATGCATGTGTTAGTTCATTGTGAAGGATTTGAATGGGTAGGGAAGAATGGAAACTGAGGCTCAGAAGGAGCAGCACAGGAAACTGAGGTGCATCTTCTGTCTCTCAGAGCCCCCTCCTCAGCCCCCTAAAGCCAAACTGGCCGCAAACTGACTCTCCCCAATCCCCCCCACAGAGTAGGAACAATCCGAAGCCACGTGGCCGGACTGTCTCCATCCGCTTGCTTCAACTGCTACCAACCCTGAGCAAGCAGGAAAGCCATGCCATCTTTTAGGTTTACCTAGATGAGCCGCTGCACGCTCCCCCTCAGGTGCCGCCCCCCATCATCTCTGCGCCCTCCCCTGACCCCCACCCTCTTCCACCTTCGTCAGACCCACTCACAGGGCTCTGCAAGATCATGGTGACGCGCTTCTTCTGCTCCATCAGGTTGAAGTCCTGCCGCAGGTCAGCGGCGCGGTTCCGCAGGCGCAGGTACTCAGGGTCCTCCTCAGAGAAGCGCTCCAAGTACTGCTGCCCCTGCGGGGGCGGCGGGGAAGCAGCGTCCGGGGCGGTCTCTTCGCTCATTTTCTTGGTGCGTTTGCGACCCACTCCAGGAACCCTGTGGAGAAAGGAGGAAGGTGGGGGTACAATTGAGGCAAGCATTTCCTTCTGAAGCTATTCCCAGAGCTTCAGAGACACCGGCAGCCACTTAGGCTGCCGCTCATTGTGAGCTCTATAGGACCGGCTAGAGCATCATTATCCCTTGCCTTACTTCATTAGGATCCACGGCCATCCGCGTGTTAGAGTCCTACTGTGCTCCTGGGGTTTCTGGGCTATAATCTGTATGGAACTGCCCCTGGGGGGATTCCCAGACTGAAGGTTTTTACAGGAGTAGAAAGCTCAGTCTTTCAAAATCCCATGAAGTTGGCTGGTGGTTTTGAATGGCTGACCTTGCAGAGCGCAGCCCAAAGAGTAACCACTACACCACACATGGGCATAGAGACCCCGTGCTATAGGGTCTCTATGAGCCAGCATGGCAGTGAGTTTGGTTTGAAGAGTTTACTCTTTATGAAAGTAGTCTGGTGCCTCTTGGTGGGTCCAAACCACCAACCTTCCACTGGAAGCCAAGTGCTTAGCCAGTGTGCCAACAATTAAAACATGATTAGATCAAGTAAAGACGCTGGTCTAGGGCCCTTTCTCAAATATCTGACCAAGTGGCAGTATAGCTGGAGTGGGTGCCCATGTAGGCACCTGACCTGCAGACCTACTGATGTATACCTAATGGCATGACCCTAGTGGCTCAGCCTCCATCACTCAGTCACTCACTTGCTGCCCTCGGATCGATGCTGACTAATAGCGAAAGACCCTACAGGACAGGGTGGAACTGCCCCTGTGCGTTTATGGGGCTAAAAAGTCTCATCTTTCTCCTTTGGAGTGGCTGGTGGCTTCAAACTGCTGACCTTGAGGTTAGCAGCCCAATGTGGAAGCACTCTGCAGCCAATACTTTATGTAAACTGTAAACCCTTCAATGAAACTCAAATCAAACCAAGCCCCCTGCTATCGAGTCGAGTCTACCTCGCAGCCACACAATCCAGGGTCTCCAAGGCTTTGGAAGTCTTCACAGGAGCAGACAGCCTCAGTTCCCTCCCAAGGTGTGGCTCATGAGTTTGAACTGCAGACTTTGTCCAGCCCTTACCAGAGCTCCCTAATTAGCAATCGTACAATACTGCTTGATGTGGTTGAACTATGGAATGTGATGATATCCGTCAGAGCTCCCAATAAAATGATTTAAAAATAATAAAAATTCTCCAATAAGCCTCCTAAAAAATTGGTGGTAAATTCACAAATGACAACTTAAAAGAGAGAAACATAATTACTAATATATGGAAACCCAAACCCAAACTTGCTACCATCGAGTCAATGCTAACTAATAGCAACCCTATAGGACAAG